TTGTTCAGATGGCATTCTTCCAAGCAAATAGGTCGGTAATTATGGAAGGTTGGCCCGGTCCACTTTACCGCTACCGTGTTGTGACAGACTCTCCTAGACCGGAAAGCTATCGTGAGGATATTGAAAGCGCCGCCCATTTGCGTGAAGGTGTGTTGCCTGCTGGACGAGTTTTTCAGGAATCCGGTAATTTTCTTTGTCATTTTTAGAAGCAGACAAACAGAAGCTGTGGGGTGATATTGCCGCTGCTGCCGAAAGTGGACGAGATTTCTCAAGCCGCTGGTTTGGGCTTACAGGACCATTAGCCGGAAAACTTGAGTCAACTAGGTTTGTAATCATATATGAGATGAGTTCGTGTCTGAAAGGTTATTTTTTTCCTTTCAGAACCAGTTCAATTGTACCTGTAGACTTGAATGCCATCATCTGCGGAAATCTCCAACTGATGGGCGACCTCTACGATGCCATCGGTGATATCGATGGCTCCAAATGGTGCGCTCAGTCAGCAGATTTGATGAAACAGACGATCCATCAGGTAGCTGAAGCTCATAGTTGATAAATGAGAACCTATTTAGCTAAGAATCTGCTAAAACGTGTCTTATTCAGGTCCTCTGGAATGATAGCGTTGGTTGCTGGTTTGATTTTGACATTGAGAACGACAAACATCTCCACATGTTCAATGACACCAATTTCTTCCCAATGTATACCAAAGCCACCCATGCTAGTAAGTAATAGCCGTCCTAGAAAATCTCTTCCAAGCCGAAATCCTGATTTTTCAGCCTTCGATTCTGAATGTATTGTGAACTACCTAAGGGCAACCGGTGTTCTTGATTTCCCCGGCGGTGTGCCAAGTTCTTTGGTCGCAAGTGGTAAGTTTACACTAAAAACAGAAAGTTTAGGGTAAAGGTTAGTAGAGTTGCAACGATCATGGGACATTTTTCAGGACAACAATGGGACTTTCCGAACGCTTGGGCGCCCACAATGTGGATTCTGATTGAAGGGTTGAGAATGAACGGCCAAAAGGAAATTGCACTAGAAATCGCTGAGAAGTGGGTGAGGAAAAACTTCAACATGTGGAGAGCCAGCGGTGGAAAGATTTATGAGAAGGTTAGTTCTTAAAAGGGTTATAATTGGAAATTGTAGTAAGGCTGAATATGTAGTGGTTTCAAGGGTGAAGGACTTAAAGGACAGCGGGGGAAAATGAAAGGCGAAAATTTTGCTTAGGCATGTAGATGAGGCAGCTGTATGAAGTGTATGTTAGCGTTATTAAGTATCAACAATAAACGTGCTGCCTCTGCGTTATTGGCTTCTGTCAATTTCATCAAGTCAGTATATCGATATATCGGTTAATTTCAGTACAACGTGGTCTCCGCCTGTTATAAGATCATTGGTGGAGGCGGCGAATACGAGATGCAAGAAGGATTCGGCTGGACAAATGGAGTTTTGCTGGACTTGCTGGTCACCTATGGCAATCAATTGGTTTGGTCACCAGCTGATGAATGTCAATGCTGTGTACTTGATTGCATCTGCCTTGTCTAAAGCCTGTAAGACTCTATGGGCTCTCTCTAGCGCTAGTATAGCAGTAGTTTTTCGCTTCTGCTATAGAGGAGCTTCTGCGCATCTGCTCCATAAACATCGATACGCGCATATACTCTTTGTAGGAAGACGTTGTTGATTTTCTCGCCTTTTTTCATCTTCTTGTAGTGATTTATGTAAAGTTATCAGGGAAAATAGCAATTTTTTCTAAGTGACGAAGTCATTAAGGAAACGCTATGAAAATCGAAAAAAACGTTCAAAAAATGAGCTTTTGCTTTGTCGGTTGTACATATTAGATATAGATAATTGTGTATTTGTTTTTTATTATATCATTCTTTGGCTACAGTCATCTACAATAATCTCTCTGTTTAACGATAGGCGGGATAACTCTCAACTTGAACTTCCATCTCTACCATTTCTCGTCTGTATGTTAAACAGAAGATTGCATTTGTTTTTTGAGCTTTTTATTATGATATGGCCCAACTTTGTCAAGTTTGTTTCATCGCCATAATAGTAGAAAGGCCCATAATTTTTTAAATTAATGGTTTGCGTATGTATAGGCGGGTCCACCGACAATTCATGCTGCGTGTATCTTTTATGTTGTTAAATAAAAAAGTGGTTAATTCCTGTGTTAATTTTGGTCATATTTTCAGAAACAATAACGTCAGTTTCTCGCATGTAATGCGAAACAAGAAAGAGATATATGGTTTATCCTCCTCCTCCTAGTCGAGTGAACTAAAGCTGTTAAAAACGATGAGTCAAGCTACAACTTGAATAAAAAAAAATAGAATCTACCGCATATTCTTAAACAATAAAACTTGTTTTCGAAGTAGTTTAGAACCATATATTCAGAAAGAATCACAATCCGGTGGAAAGAAATGAAACTATATAAGTTG